ATGAATTTTAGCATCATTTTTTCCAGGTCTGAGAAGAATGTCTTTGGTATTTTGATTGTTATTGCATTGAATCTATAAATTGCTTTTGGGAATGGACACTTTGATGATATTGATTCTTCCAATCCATGAGCATGGAAAATTTTTCCATTTTTTTGGTTCCTCTTCTATTTCTTTCTTTAAGGTTTTGTAATTTTCATCGTAGAGATCTTTAACGTCCTTGGTTAAGTTTATTCCAAGGTATTTGATTGTTTTTGTAGCTATTGTGAATGGGATTGATCTTAGAAGTTCTTCCTCAGCCATGGAATTGCCTGTGTGTACAGAGGCTGTTGATTTTTGTGCATTGATTTTATATCCTGCTACTTTGCCAGACTCTTCTATGAGTTCCAATAGTCTCTTAGTAGAGTTCTTTGGATCCCGTAAATAAAGAATCATATCATCTGCAAAGAGGGATAGTTTGAGTTCTTCCTTCCCAATTTGTATCCCTTTAATTTCTTTTTCTTGCCTAATGGCTCTGGCTAAAACTTCCAGAACTATATTGAATAGCAGTGGTGAGAGTGGACATCCCTGTCTGGTACCAGATCTCAGTGGAAATGCTTCCAACTTCTCCCCATTCAGTAGGATGCTGGCCATGGGTTTTTCATAAATTGCTTTGATTGTATTGAGGAATGTTCCTTCTATACCTAGTTTGCTTGAAGTTTTCATCATGAAAGGGTGTTGTATTTTTCAAATGCTTTCTCTGCAACTATTGAGATAATCATATGGTTTTTCTTCTGCAGTTTGTTAATATGGTGTCACATTGATTGATTTGCGAACATTGAACCATCCCTGCATACCAGGGATGAATCCCACTTGGTCTGGGTGGATGATCTTTCTGATGTGTTGTTGCATTCTATTGGCCAGAATTTTATTGAGGATTTTTGTCTTCCTTGTTCTTGTCTCCTCGGTTCTTGCATTTGTTGCTTGGCATTGTAGGGATCTTCTTTGGTTTATTCTTCCTTTTTTTTTTCTCGCCGTGGTAGCTTTTCTCCTTATACTATGACTCTAGATTAAGTGTACTGTCTGCTTTTGGTGAATCTCTAGAGGCTTGTGGTGGGTGTGACCAGAGAGCTCTATTAAGTCCTTCAGGGTTAAGGGTGTGCCAAAGGTGACACACACAGGTTTGGCATGGAAAATCCCCCCCCCCTTTTTTTTATTCAGTAGGGAAGTAATTCCGCTCAGCTGAGCTTTTCTCCTTGTTGGCAATCAGTGCCTGAGCTCTAGCCCCAGTGTGTATAATATTCATCTGCTCTGTCTCAAGGACCACACAAAGGATCTGTGCAGTCCTCAGTGTAATCTCAGATTCCCCTGCAATGTCTCTCACTAGGTAGCCAAGGCTACCGAGTTTGTGGTGTCTCCCACCGATACTACTCACGTCTCAGCCACACCGTGAGTTCTTCCACACACCCTGAATTTTTTTTCCCATAGTCCTGGTTCATAAGCTCCACACATTCACTAGGTCTTATCTCCTGTTATTACTCCCTATCAGAGTCAGGTTTTTCTGTTTGGATGAGGATGGGTGCAGCCCCGAGCTAGTGCAGCTGTTAAGTATGTCCAAAATGGTGCCTGCTGTATTGTCTCGCTTGCCTTTGTAAGGTGTGTGGAGAGAGAGAATCGTGTCCGTACCGTCCCTTTTATTTGTTTGTCTCCTCTAGTTAGGCTGGTGTACTTTCCTCCACGGGGCTTTAAGCCTTGTTCCCTGTAGGCTCTTCCAGCCGCTTTTCCGCCAGTGTCTTGGGCTGCTGTGGTTTTCAGTGCTGTTTCTAGCGCTGTTGCGCAGGAGAAGATTCTCAGTAGCTGGGCTCCTGAGCCGTGGGTGCCCGTGTCCTCCTTGTAGATCCACCGTGTCCCTCTAATTCCGGAAGAGTTCCCTCTGCATTTTTTTCCATAACTCTTCCCTGAGACTTCACTATCTTCACTTTTATTAAACTATCTTTTCCTGGACTATCAGTGAGCTCCTTCCCTGTTCCGCCATCTTGGAACCCCCTCCCGTAGCCCTCATTAATGTGTATAAGTAGTATTTTGATTATTGTGAAAACATAGAAAAGTAGTCTCAAAAAATGACCTTTGCCTGACATCAATGTGTTCAAGTTACGACCTCAGTAAGGAGTTAAGGATGGAGAGAAACATGATAGCTTTTAAAGTGATCCACCCTTTTGCCTTTTTGATTTTGAGAGAAGCTGTTAGATGCCAACTGTAAGGATAATTCATGTACGAATTGTTTAAATCCATCTAGAATAGACAACTCTAGAGTAGTAAGGTTTAGGGCATAAATGTTCTTCATTCATAATTTGAACCATTGTAGAAACAAAGGAGCAACTGTCTTTAATAATTCTAAGCCAGTCACTCTGTTAAGAATTACTGTTTTCATCATGATTTAGTTTTATGCTCATGTGTATGTGCAGGTGTGCAAAAAAAATTCTCTTTAGGGACAAGCATTTGACATAGTGTTTAAGACACTAGTTGGGACACCTACATCGCATATTGAAGTGCCTGGATTCAGGTCTGGGCTCTGCTCCTGCTTCTAGCATCCTGTTAATGCATACGCCAGGAGGCAGCAGAGATGGCAGAGATTCTCTCTCTCCACACACCTTACAAAGGCAAGCGAGACAATAGAGCATGCCCCCACATGGTAGTGAATGAGTACCTAGAGTGAGTACCTGGCTCCTGACTTTGACCTCACCTATCCTTGGATGTCACAGGCATTTGGGAAGTGAACTGGAGTATGTGTTTTTCTCCCTTTCAAATAAATATAATAATAGTTAATTTTAATTTGGTGGCAAAATGCCTTATAAACCAGAATTTGAATTTGGATTTAAAAAAACAAAATCTGAGGTCTGTGTTGTGGTATAGAAGGTTAACCCATCGACTACAATGCCAGCGTCTCATATGTCTGGTGGTTTGATTTCTGGCTGTTCCTCTTCCAATCCAGCTCCCTGCTAATGGCCTGAGAAAGCAGCTGAAAATGGCCCAAGTGTATAGTTCCAAGCATTAACTATGAGAGACCTGGATGAAGCTCCAGGCTCCTGACTTTAGCCTGGGCCACCCCTGGCTGTTGTGGCCATTTGGGAAGTGAACCAACAGATGGAGGATCTCTCTTGTCTGTCTCTTTCTCTCCATAACTCTACCTTTCAAAGAAATAAATATATCTTTAAAAAAAAGTGAAGAGGTTCCAGATTCTTAGACCACAGAAGGTAAAAACAAATGAGCAAGTCCATCACAGGTTTTATTTCTTGCTTTATTCTATCTAATAAAATTCATTTAAATGTTATACCAAGAAAGAGTAATAAGATGAAAAGAATCTCTGACTTTATTACTACAAGCGATGCTTTCTTTGAAATTATTTTGAAATCTTCTTGCTAATAAACAAGACAAATCTTATTCATTGAAGGATGAAAAGTAAAGGAGCATGGAATAGATTGTGTATAGTTTATAAGCTGATGTTTCTGTGTTTGAGAATGGTTATTAAAAAATTGAAATCAGTAATGGTTAGGCTACTGGATAAAAACAGTTTGAATTCTGAAGGTGATAACAGTGTAAAAAATGAGTAAGGTAGATACTGTTCTTAGAAATTACACATCTGTGGCGGCGCCGCGGCTCACTAGGCTAATCCTCCACCAAGCGGTGCCGGCACACAGGGTTCTAGTCCTGGTCAGGGCACCAGATTCTGTCCCAGATGCTCCTCTTGCAGGCCAGCTCTCTGCTGTGGCCCTGCACCCCATGGGAGACCAGGATAAGTACCTGGCTCCTGCCATCAGATCAGTACGGTGTGCCGCAGCGCCCAGCACGCGCATTGAGGTGACACGCAAAGAAGCCTCTCTGTCTCTCTCTCTCCACTGTCCACTCCTGCCTGTCGAAAAAATGAAAAAAAAAAAGAGAAAGACGAAAGAAGTACACATCTGTGATAACTAACAAAATTTGACCTTCTAAATAATTTATTCTTTAGGTAATTACAGAAGAAATGATTTTAGGAGACTGGTATGAGAAATGAGTAAATGAACGTTGTATTTTCTTAGTTTAAGATAAGTAGGTGTTAAGAGTTCAGATTCTTGTAGATTTAGATCTTTTCATCCTTAAGATTTTTTATGAGAGTTTGGAATGTGTAATTGTGACTTCAGCTCCTAAAAATGAAAATAACATATTTCAAAAGTAATAGTATGGGCCGGCGCCACGGCTCACTAGGCTAATCCTCCACCTGTGGCGCCGGCACACTGGGTTCTAGTCCTGGTCAGGGCGCTGGATTCTGTCCTGGTTGGCCCCCTTTCAGGCCAGCTCTCTGCTGTGGCCCGGGAGTGCAGTGGAGGATGGCCCAAGTGCTTGGGCCCTGCACCCCATGGGAGACCAGGAAAAGCATCTGGCTCTTGACTTCAGATCAGCGCGGTGCACCGGCCGCGGCGGCCATTGGAGGCTGAACCAACGGCAAGAGGAAGACCTTTCTCTCTGTCTCTCTCACTGTCCACTCCGCCTGTCAAAAAATTAAAAAAAAAAAAAAAAAAGTAATAGTATGGGCTTGTTCTGAATATCAAATAGCATTGTGTTCAGCTTTTCCTGCTACAGTGGTGTCTTGCCAGCAGTAGTATTGCTAATGGCAGAACAGTATACATGGGAAAACTCCAAGCCTTCCTCAGCCTCAACTAGCAGGTTGATAAAACTAGGAAACAATAGAAAATGCATTTGTTCAGGAAGTTTAATTTCACATGAAGGAGGTAATCATAGAGAACAATTAAGAGTCAAATGTGTATACTCTCTGTTTTAGGGTACTGATATAGAAGGATCATCATCAAGTTTGAGAACCATGTTTACTTGTTCTTTATGTAGTAATAAATGCTCTGGGCTTCATTATACTATGTTTGCTATGCTTCATTACATATACTACCTTCATCAAAAACATGTGCAGTTGAGCTTAAGATAACCTGTTTGATTTATTTAAGAAAAATTAATAAGTCTGATCATTTACTTTAAAGCTGCAGAAGAAAGAAGATCAACAATTGGAGCCTAAAAAAAGTACCAGCCCTAAAAAAGCTGCAGAACCCACTGTTGATCTTTTAGGACTGGGTAAGTAATAAATAATAAAAGTCATCATTAGTGTCATCCAACACTTGAAACCTTTTCTTGAATATGATGGCTTTATCTTCAGTATGCCAAAAGATACCTGTTAACTGAATTTGAAAGTGGTTTGATTGGCTTACTGAGTTCTCACGAAAAGGAAATCTTTAATGAGGAAGACAATGTCTTTCAGTACTTCTTCACTGAAATACAGATAATGAGTTCCTTGGGGGAAAAGGAGATATTAAAGTAATCTTCAAAGACTTGGTAGATGTGACATTTCAACATTTGAAATAAAAACCAGAGGTTTGCCCTCCACTCTACACACACCTTTCTCTCTGGTTTTGTAGAGGATTTTCCCCCTTAGCAAAAGAATTCTGAAGAAGCCTTATTATAAAGTGTGTTGGTTTAAAATGTACTTTGAGTTAACTGAAATAACACCTTTTATACCCAGATCTAGTGGCTAAATTCCTATCTATATACCCAATGAAAATAAAAAGTATTCATTTTAAGTTAATGTCCTGTTTGTTCTCATGGCTGATAGAAACATGAGGGAGTTTCAAAAACTTTCTGGAAAATGGAATTAAAAGATGTTTATTTTGGTACAAAAAATTTTGAAATCCATGCATATAAAATATCTTCAGAAAGTTAATGGAAAATATCTATTATGAAAAAATTACAGATTTCAAAATTTTTTGTGCGAAAATCTTTTTTTTTTAACTTTTATTTAATGAATATAAATTTCCAAAGTACGATTTATGGATTACAATGGCTTCCCCCACATACCGTCCCTCCCACCCACTACCCTCCCCTTTCCCACTCCCTCTCCCCTTCCATTCACATCAAGATTCATTTTCGATTATCTTAATATACAGAAGATCAGCTTAGTATACATTAAGTAAGGATTTCAACAGTTTGCTCCCACACAGAAACATAAAGTGAAAAATAATGATTTTTTTTAAATGATGATGAAATCAGATCAGACCTATTGTCATGTTTAATCCCAGTGATAGTCAAGTTGGGAGTTGATAATTTCTTTCTTTCTTTTTTTTTTTTTTACAGAGGATCAGTTTAGTATACATTAAGTAAAGATTTCAACAGTTTGCACCCCCATAGAAACACAAAGTGAAATATATTGTTTGAGTACTCATTATAGCATTAAATCTCAATGTACAGCACATTAAGGACAGAGATCCTACATGAGGAGTAAGTGCACAGTGACTCCTGTTGTTGACTTTACCAATTGACACTCCTGTCTATGGCATCAGTAGTCTCCCTATGCTCCAGTCATGAGTTTCCAAGGCTATGGAAGCCCTCTGAGTTCTCCGATTCTTACCTTGTTTAGACAAGGTCATAGTCAAAGTGGAGGTTCTCTCCTCCATTCAGAGAAAGGTACCTCCTCCTTTGAAGACCTGTTCTTTCCACTGGGATCTCACTCGCAGAGATCTTTTGCCAGAGTGTCTTGGCTTTCCATGCCTGAAATACTCTCATGAGCTTTTCAGCCAGATCCGAATGCCTTTAGGGCTGATTCTGAGGCCAGAGTGCTATTTAGGACATCTGCCATTCTATGAGTCTGCTGAGTATCTCACTTCCCATGTTGGATCACTCTCCCCTTTATTTATTCCATCGGTTAGTGTTAGCAGGTACTAGACTTGTTTATGTGCTCCCTTTGACTCTTAGTCCTTTCATTATGATCAATTGTGAACTGAAATTGATCACTTGGACTAGTGAGATGGCATTGGTACATGCCACCTTGATGGGATTGAATTGGAATCCCCTGGTATGTTTTTAACTGTATCATTTGGGGCAAGTCAGCTTGAGCATGTCCCAAATTATACATCTCTTCCCTCTCTTATTCCCACTCTTATGTTTAACAGGGATCACATTTCAGTTAATTTTCAACACTTAAGAATAACTGTGTATTAATTACAGAATTAAACCAGTCATATTAAGTAGAATAGACAAAAAAACTACTAAGAGGGATAATGTATTAAGTTGTTCATTAACAGTCAGGGCTATGCTGATCAAGTCACCATTTCCCATAGTGTCCGTTTCACTTCAGGAGGTTTCCTTTTTGGTGTTCAGTCAGTTGTCACCGATCAGGGATCACATATGGTATTTGTCCCTTTGGGACTGGCTTATTTCACTCAGCATGATGTGTTCCAGATTCCTCCATTTTGTTGCAAATGACTGGATTTCGTTGTTTCTTACTGTGGTATAGTATTCTAAAGAGTACATATCCCATAATTTCTTTATCCAGTCTACCGTTGATGGGCATTTATTTACTTGAGTGATAGAGCGCTTCCATCTGCTGGTTCACTCCTTAAATGCTCAGTACTGGAGGGCTGGGCAGGGTCAGAGCCAGGAGTTGGGAACTCAATCCAAGTTTCCCATATGGGTGACAAGGACCTGTTCACTTTAGCTATCACTGTATCTTCCCATAGTCTGTAGATTGCAGGAACTTGGGATAGGAAGCAGAGCTGAGAATCAGTTCTAGGCACTCTAATATGGGAAGCAGATGTTTTAACTGCTGTACAAATACTTACTCCATATATATATATATATATATATATATATATATATATAAAGATTTATTTATCTGGGCTGGCACTGCAGTTCAATAGGCTAATCCTCCACCAAGCGGTGCCGGCACACAGGGTTCTAGTCCTGGTCAGGGCACCAGATTCTGTCCCAGATGCTCCTCTTCCAGTCCAGCTCTCTGCTGTGGCCCGGGAGTGTAGTGGAGGATGGCCCAAGTGCTTGGGCCATGCACCTGCATGGGAGACCAGGAGAAGCACCTAGCTCCTGGCTTCGGATCAGCGCAGTGTGCCGGCCGCAGCGGCCATTGGAGGGTGAACCAACGGCAAAAGGAAGACCTTTCTCTCTGTCTCTCTCTCTCACTGTACACTCTGCTTGTCAAAAAAAAAAAAAAAAAAAAAGATTTATTTATCAGAAAGGCACAGTTAGAGAGAAGGTGAGACAAACAGAGAAAAAGAGATCTTCCATCTACTAGTTCATTTTCAAATGGCCACAGTGGCCAGAGCTGGGTCATTGAGGTCTTCCTAAGTGCATGGCAGGAGCCCAAGTACTTGGGCCGTCTTCCACTGCTTTCCCAGGTACATCAGCAGGGTGCTGGATTAGAAGTGGCATGAACCAGTCCCCCATGGGATGCCAGTGTTGCAGGCAGCAGCTTCACTCAATGGACCAATCTTTTGATTACATTTTCCCATAGACTTTTTTTTTTTTGACAGGCAGAGTGGACAGTGAGAGAGAGAGAGACAGAGAGAAAGGTCTTCCTTTGCCGTTGGTTCACCCCCCAAAGGCCGCTCCGGCAGCGCGCTGCGGCCGGCGCACCGCGCTGATCCAAAGCCAGGAGCCAGGTGCTTCTCCTGGTCTCCCATGCGGGTGCAGGGCCCAAGGACTTGGGCCATCCTCCACTGCACTCCCTGGCCACAGCAGAGAGCTGGCCTGGAAGAGGGGCAATCGGGACAGAATCTGGCACCCCGACCGGGACTAGAACCAGGTGTGTCGGCGCTGCAAGGTGGAGGATTAGCCTAGTGAGCCGCGGCACCGGTCTCCCATAGACTTTTGATGTACTTTTCTATGTTATCTGGCATGGTGACTAAATAGGCTTTATACAAAGTGTGCTTATTCTGTGTTTATCAACAAATATTATCAGTTCATTTTTTACATTTTTTCCTCCTTCCCAAAGAGTTGGTTTGATAAATGGTTATTTTAGGTGTGATCTGGGTCTTGGAGTGCTATGGTATTTTTTTCTTTGGAGACAGAGTGACAGCTAAAGGGACAAAAATGAATGGCAGTTAGTTGAAGGGTAAAAGTGAGCTACATATACTACTTTTCAAAAAAACTGATCTCAGTTCTTATTAAGTAAATTTTTTATTTTAAGAATTAGAGTTAAATATTTTATTCATACTTTAGGAATCTTGTATATCATAGATGTATTACTCTCTAGAGATAAAATTCTTTTATGATGAATGTAGTGAATTAGACATATAAAAAATAACTAATTGTAGAAACAGAGCTTCAGTCCAGGGGCTCTAAATACAATTATGTTGAATTCGAGTTCACGTAATTTCTATATTTTGTTGCATTTGTGGTTAAATGATAGAATAGACTTATTGCCAAAATAAGAAAATATCTTAAACTTTGTTTCTTTGTCTTCATTGCATAATTTTTTTTACAGTCTGTGTTTTTTATTAATTAATTTGTAATTCAGAAATGTAAAATATAAACTAGCTCTGATTATGCTCCTACAGATCTATTCATTAATTCATCAGATATTTTGTCATCTACTGTATGTGTCTAGGTGCCATTTTAGGCACTGGGGAGACAGCTCTGAAAGAAGATGGTAACAGTCTTTGTCTCCTGGGAGCTTTCATTCTTTCTGGGGAAATAGTGAAAAAAGTTAAGGAAAATATGTTGTAGGTCGTATGTAGTAAGTACCACAGATAAAAGCAAACAAAATGAGTAGTTGTAATTTTTAATAGGGTGGAGAGGGAGGTGTCATTGGAACAAAGACCTGAGGAATGAATATCTGGGTATGTGTGCAGCTGCATTAAAAGTAGAACAAGTACAAAGCTTAAGCTTATCGGAGGCAGCCTACTTGAAGTCCAGAGACCAGCAAGGGTGACAGTGCAGTTAGAGTGGAATGGTCTGCAAGAGAGTGATGGCAGAGGAATCAGAAGGAAGAGATGAGGAATGGGGGCAGGCTGGTCTAAGGGATTTGCCTTTTACTCTGAGTAACTTGGAAACAGATTGGAGGGATTTGTAAGGAAGTTAAGACTTTAGCTTTGGTATTGAAAGGAGTATTGTGGCTTCTATGCCTAGAATAGATTGTAAGCAGGCAAGGCTGGAAGCAGAACAAGCAGCAAAGGAACCATTGCCATAATACAGGGGAACGAGATTGATGACAGACTAGCTGGTGGCATTGGAGTTTAAGATGTAGTCAGACTGCAGATTTACATTGAAGATAGAACCAACAGAATGTG